TTCGGAGTAAGAAGTCATTGAACAGTCATTGTGTTGATGCTAAATATTAAAGATCACTGCGCAGCCAGAGTGTTTCATGACTACGTAGCATATAAATTGATAGCTCTAAGTCGAAAACGGATAATACTAAAACTTCCAACCATTATATGTGAACCATTATATATGAAACATGATGGTTGAACCACTGTATGTGAACCATTATATATGAAACATATATGAAACATTATGGATGGACCATTGTATGTGAACCATTATGGGCAAACCATGATATATGAAACATTATGGGTGAACCACTGTATATGAACCATTATAGGCAAACCTATATGCGTGAACCATTATATATGAAAATTATGGTGAACCATTGTATGTGAATAATTATAGGCAAACCATTATATATGAAACATTATGGATGAACCATTGTATGTGAACTATTACAGGCGAACCATTATAGGTGAGCCATTATATGCGAACCATTATAGGTAAACCATTATATGTGAACCATTATATAGCCCACTTTATGCGACACACGACGCCGTGAATGTTGAATGTGTGGTGAACGTTGAAAGTTCCGTAGCCTGGTAACGACCGACGAACGTCTTGAACGCCGCGAAATGCATTATAAATCATTTTCTGAATAATTAAATGTCCCCTACAGCGTAGATAAATTTTTGAGCCCCGAAAACGCTTGAGACGTGAACGCTGAATACTGAATTTACAGCGGAAGATTTAGATACAGAATTTTCGTAATAACAGTTTTGAAAATAACGTGAATAACTGTTAAAAGAACCACGAAATCTGTTAAGAAAGACAAGATATCAAAACACTAGTGAGGGCTGAATAACATCCAATTACATGCACGTCGATTTGGGCCCGTATTCCAATTAATAGTCAAATTATTGATCGAAGAAATGGAAATGAAACCTATGCCGCTCTATGCCCTGCAGAGGCTTAATAATTCATCATCTAAGGAGCTCTCAGATGTTCGAATCCAATCACCGCTGTGGCGAACTAAGGTTAATTTGTTGCGGTAGTAGTTAATTTGTTATCTTCGTAGTTTTGTTATTTTCAATGAATAAATACATATTAAAAGCAACAGTTACTTCGTTAGCTGTAGTTAGCAGCTCCATCTGCCCATCAGCGAGCACTATCCTCGTCAATTCGTGTAAAATAACGCTGACTTTATGCCATGTGTAATCGTATGAATTTTTCAAAACGCAGGACATAACAATGCAAGCTGAACATTTGTACTTTCATCTTCCGCATCCACAAGAAACGCCGCAAACTTTCATCCATGTACATCATCAGTAACGTCTTCCAGCGACATCGTTCATATTTACAATAAACACAACCCACTTCATTGCAAGTAAAATATCAGTAACTTCATTCACGGCGGCACCGTTTATATCTACAGTAGTCATGCTGCCCACTTACATGCAAGTAAACCATCAGTAACTCCATCCACGGCAGCACCTCACGTATCCACAATAAACACTGCCCACTTCCATGCAGTAAACCATCAGTAACTTTATCCACGGCAGCACTTCACGTATCCACAATAAACAGCGCTAACTATAAAGCAATAACAGGAAGCAACTGCCAACTTGCCATGGTTGGTACACGTATCGTGCGTGGTGAGCAGGCCAAGCAGCTTACGAAGTTGTGCTCGGTTTATCCTCATTAGGAGTAGCGTAAGCTTCTCTATTGTTTTATTGAACTTCCGACTCGAACTATAAATAAAGCAAGGAGTCGTAAGATGGATTGTAGGGATCAGCGGCAATACTTTCAACAAAATAAAAATGTTTAGCGTAGAGCTTTCAAGAACCAGCAGCCATAGTGAATACTACCGGTATTTAGATGAGCTTAAGAAACGCTATGAGCGCATTTAATTTTATAAAAAGGCAATTTTATGGGATCAAAACCTGATTTTACCAATACAAAGTTACAAATAATAGCGAGATGAAAAATTTTTAAACTTGAACTGAGTATTATGTTTTTTAACAGTAATGTGGGATAGGCTGGCAGTACATATGTATTCGAGGAAAGTTTCTGGCTTTGTAATAAATTGTTACGAACAATCTGTGAATTACTTCATTTTCACATGCCACTGCACTCATTAGTAGGGGTAAACATGAAACTATTACCATGCATTGGTGAAGGAAATTTTGCCTTCGCAGTACGCCGGAGAATTATTTCACAACTGCTTTAATGCCGCAAATTTAAATCACAGTTTGCTTCTTTCGTTGAAGTGAAGTTTTTAAAACTATTACAAAAGTGTATTTATTTAATTATCGTATACTCCCAATGTTACTGTCGAGAAATTTGAGCGTACGGTTTATACTTATAATAATAGAAACGTCTGTGCTATATCATCGCTGCAAGAACGCAGCAAAAATCCAATAGGAACGTTGTTTGCTGCCAAATTAAACATGCAAATGTTAACATTGCTGATCAAATTGCTGCAAATTGGCGGAAACAAGCAATTAGCCAAACATATTTGCCAATTTAATTTAGAAAAAATCGAAATGAAAATATCTGAGCTTATTTTATAAAATCATAAATCACGTATGCACCGATCCTGAATTAGATCAAATGACATCGAGATTTCCTCGGAAGCCTCAAACAGACCTCACGCAATGTAGGCAATCAGTGCGGGCGCATCTTTAAATGAAGATCTAAGCGGACTTCGTGGCAAGGCAGACACCATCGGTAGAGACAGGTTCGACACCAAAGTTATGACGGATATAGGCCTGAGCTGTGGCTGATATTGCCACACGCTCGGGATCAATACCGCAACCGGCCACTTACATTCAAATGGATTGCAGTCCTTCAAGAACGTTCCTGCGACCAAGAAGATGCTCTCGGTAAACCGTAAGGGGCATTTAAAAGGACGGTGGTCATTCTAGGATGTCGAAAAATGGACGGTGATTTTTCTAGAATAACGCCAAGAACGAAGAAAATGCTTGCAGTAATGCGTAAGAGGCATTCAAAAGGACGGTGGTGAGTCTAGAATGTAGATAGGTTTACGGTTGTTCTTCTAGAATAACGCTAAAAACGAAAAAATGCTTGCGGATTAGGATGTGTGTTGTTTCTCATTCTAATCCGCCTAATCTCCTTTCTTATCGGTGAGGGTTACATAAAAATTTTGAAAAAATTAAGGATGATGTTTGACCAAACTCTGAATAGACTTGGACTGTGGTTCTTCGACAATAACGCTAGAACCAAGAAGTTGCTCGCAGTAACCAGTGAGAGACATTCAAAAGGACGGTGGTCATACCAGATCAGTCGATGGATGAGCGGTGGTTCTTTGAGGTTTACCACACAAGAATTTTGCTTGTACTTGGGGAAAGTAAATAAACGACAGTCAAATTGTCGGTGCGGTTGCAAATCTGTTTTAAAAAGAAAATCTTCCCTACAGTTGTTTAGCCGTGGAAGTAAACAAGTCGGACACAAATGTAGTCAAGGTTATCTGCTCTATCTCCCTGCGGTTCAGACATCAGAGTCCTTGTGTAATCTTCCATTTGATAAGAGGTGCAATTAGTGGCGTATTAATGAATGATATTTATACGCTGCAGTTTTATGAACAATTACTTCACAAAATAAAATGCACATAAATACAAAAATTTATGAATATATGTTTCTCTGGCAAAAACATTGGGCACAAACTTTCATATTAAAACAAATGAAATAAAATCGTATATAGAAATCAGAAAACAAGGGAAGACAATGCTTTCTGACAATGCACAGGCGGCTTACGCTGATCAAGAAGAGATTCAAGTGGTCTGCACAGACGGCAAACGCTGTGCCAGAGATTCAAGGGCTCTGTACAGACGGCAAACGCTGTGCCAGAGATTCAAGGGCTCTGTACAGACGGCAAACGCTGAGCAAGATATGCAAGGGCTCTGCACAGACGGCAAACGCTGAGCAAGAGATGCAAGGGCTCTCTGCACAGACGGCAAAGGCTGAGCAGTAGATGCAAGGGCTCTGCACGGATAGCAAACGCTGTACAAGAGATGCAAGGGCTCTGCACAGACGGCAAACGCTGAGCAAGATATGCAAGGGCTCTGCACAGACGGCAAAGGCTGAGCAGTAGATGCAAGGGCTCTGCACAGACGGCAAACGCTGAGCACTGAAAGCTCATTGCCAAAAGGCAAATCTTGGAGCGCTAAGTCGGGACAGAATGCGCGCGCCATACGGGCAGTCGCGGCACCGTGAACAAGAGGCTCTCGGTAGCTCCTTGAAGGCGCAGTCAATTTTCTGGTTTTTCTGAGAACGCAGCGCCGGGCTCTCGCGTGGCTCAATCAACAGAGAAATGCCCGCAACTTGGCCATAGAAATTTGATGAAATGAGACGCTCGACACAACGTCGAGTTTACTTATATTCTTGGTATGCCAGTTTGACTTATTTTCAAGAATATGGTTAAGCGATTATTCAGTAATTAAAAATAAAGATGGTGTAAATTTCAGGGAAATGATAAGAAATTGAAGTGATTTCATGCAGTGGTAATGGTTTTAAACAAAGCATTGTCTGATTAAAACTAACCAAATGAAAAAAAGGCAATCAAGTTCCAGCAATTATGATGAGAATTTTAAAATTCGACATAAACATCTGAAGAGTTGAAGAATGCTTTTTTCGAAATTTAATATTGACCAATGGCTTTAAAGAAATACATTTCAACTGATCGATATAACAGAAAACTATATAGAAAAAGTAAATAGTTGCACCCACGGCGATCATTTTCGAACTACCTAATAATCTTATTTATATCTTTATTAAATAAAATTTAATTTAAATAAAATTATTTTATCTACCATAATAAATAATGAGGAAAAGGATACCAAATTTAAGTGTAGCGTCTTCTATGAAATATATTTCAGACAATATATATATGAAAAGTACTAACTGGGCATTGAAATAAAATATTATTTCAGCAAAAATTTTAGTGTTATAAGGCAGTAACTTACCAAGTCCGTGAAGCCGTGAGTGAAAGCATAAAGTCTCACCTTTAACATCAAGTCCTCCTCTGTATTTGTCCCAAGCCTTGAGTCTCACCTTTAACATCAAGTCCTCCTCTGTATTTGTCCCAAGCCTTGAGTCTCACTCGCTCGCCGAGTAGTGAAAGAAATTTGTCGAAGCCTTTACTGCCAACCTCTGCACAAAAACAACAAACTCTGTCAAATACATTAGTTAATTTATACACAAAATATTCGTTGTAAAAATAAAATATGCATTATAGAAAAATAATGTGAATGCCATATTTTATTATAAAATTGTAAGAAATTTTTTTTCATAATACATATTTTATTATAAAATATGTATTATGAAAAATAATGTGGATGCCATATTATATTAAAAATCTGTATGATTGAAAAATCTGCCACGTGTACTCAGACTAGTCATTCACATTCAAAATAAAACTATGAAATAAAATAGAAATAATGTAGTATAAAAAATACTGAGAAAAAAATGGGTAAATTTACGCACAATATTCGTTTGACTTTTAAATTTAAAGTTAAACACAATACAGGAAAATTTGTAACCTAATTTGTAATTTAATATTATTTGTAATAACCTAATTTGTAATTTGACAGTAAAAGCGTATTGTTGAGCTGTGGGTAAACTTGGTACATGAATCAACACTTTTATCGAAGAAATAAAAATGAATTTTAATCAACGCTCTTGTTATGGGCCTATCAAACCTGTCATCAAACCTATCAATACATTATACAGGTCATTTAGTGCAATTATTGTTGATTTATATATTACACGTTATGAAAAGAAAATAAAACTGCAAAATCTTTATAACCTATCATTTAAAAAATATAAAGATAGAAATAAAAATTGAACAAATGTACGTTGGCACAACGCAGTTAATTAGACCATTATTTATGCATCGCTAAGACGTTACTCGGGAGACACGTGAAGTAGACCAGCGCTGGTCTCTGGAGCTCCTAAGTAGCTTTATGAGACGGCTTAGTACCAGCGTACTAGGGTGACTAGTCAGGCTTGCCGCACAATTATAAGAAAACTTTATAACATCTATAAGAAAATTTTGAAAAATTGGAACCCGAAGTTCAATTGAATTTTTTTGTGCCGATTTGAATCAGGCTTACCGCACACTTATAAGAAAACTTTACAACGTTTATAAGAAAATTTTGAAAAATTGGAACCCGAAGTTCAATTGAATTTTTTTTTGGTGCCGACTTGAAGTCGAAGAAAAGAACTTCTAAATCGTAAAATTTTCACACTGCAAACGCTGCGCTAGGCGAAGGGATAGAAGGTGATGAAGGGAATTACGAAGTGAAAGGGGGCTAGAAATCAATTATTAACGGCATATGTCAAGAGATTTGCTTGGTGCCTACACGCAGTCAGATGCGTTCGGGACCGTTTTCTTGCTTCACGCATTCCCTTTTATGAAGAGGACTGATTTGCATAAGAACTTGAATGTAGGTCATAAATGAACAAGATTTTTGGTACAGTGAGGTAAAAATAATACGAATAATAAATAATAAATATAATTAATTCGTTATTTTGGTAGCACCTTGTAACGAAATAACAGCTTAAATCGAGATATTTTGATGTGGAATATATCATTAAAATTTGAAAGGTAAAACATAGCCATCACGTATTTATACAGAAATAAATGCGCCAGTAATTACGATTTTTGATATAGTATTTCGACTTGGCTGATGACACGACAACAATGAACTGCTGGACAATGGATGCAAACGAGTGGAAAAGCTTCCAAAAACACTTTAATAAATTTAACAGTATGTCATTCGCGATCAAAATAGTTACATTTGCAGTTGGAATACTGAAATGTTAGAATTAGCGTTAATTAGAGCGCTAAAAACTTTACTGAACGGGATTTTATCAAATGGAATAACATTTAAAATGTTGTATTTCTATTTGAGCGCGGAATAATACAAGTCGAGAGCTGAATAATAGGAAAGCTCATTGACTATTAATGTATTAGAGATTATTCTCTTCACGCTAGTCATAATGCTGACGAATAATGTATGCAAATTAGGTGTCGAGCGATGACATTCACGAGCACAATGCTGACAGGGAAGCTAAAACTGGAGCGAAGCGCAGCTTTATTTGCAAGCATCGTGGTTAAAATGAATCGTTAGAATCAGATAAAACGAGAAGAAAATTATTGTGTAGCACACATCTGCAAAAAAATATAACTCGGTACTCACTGCAGTAAGTGACAGAGAGCGCATTTTCTCGTCGACGAAAACTTGAGGTCACGGACGGACAGACAGATGGACGGATAGACAGACAGACAGACAGACGGACATGGCGAGCACAAAGTGCATTTTTTCCATAAATGAGAAAATGCGCTAAAAATAGAATTTCGTAAAAACTGGAAAACTAGTAATAATTATGTCCTCTTATTAACCTATTATTAGTACCAAACAACTTATGGTTACGGAATATTTATGAAAATAATCGTTTACCTGTATGGAAAATATTCTTGAGAACGAAAATACACAGACTTTACTACTAATACTTGAGTTACTCCGAAAGTTAATAATTTTTAAAAATAATATTGATTGGAAACACGAGTATAAATGAGGCTGGCAGAAGAGCCGAAAAAGAGTTGTAAATAATATATTTTAATTTTGCTGTTATATACTGCTTTTTTATATCAGTTATTGTATTTACAGAACTTCATTGATAGTATCAATCGAGTGGTCCATTTATCAATTGTATCAATTGATAGGCGCATTACAATGAAAATAAACATATGTTGTTATGACAAATGAAAATTGGTAGACGATTTTTTTACAGGGACTGCACGTTTTTCTCGAGTGTAGGCTTTCTAGCATTACTTATTGCAAAAGTTGATTCTATAGTTTTCGAGAACAAAAATATTTCCAGATTTAAAATGGGAGTTTTGATGTCCATGGGAGTTTTTTTTAATCAAAACGAGAACAAAATATCGTTAAATGGTGTTTGTGTTACAAAATTGTGTTGTAAATCCTTGTAATCGGATTAAGTATCCACGCATTATAATAATTCTAGTTATTTTCTGTTATACATTTTCTGCACACCTAATGTACCACATGCAAGATAAAAATGAAAGTCGGATCAGAGCACTTAACCGCCTGTCGGTCCCTCGCTTTTTTTCTTGGAACAGGCTTCATGATGAAACTCTTTACACAAAATATTCACGATGTTTATATTTTTTCATATCATTAATATTCCCTAGTCAAACGCAGAGTATCAAGATTTCCACCTCATGTGAGCTAAGCCTTGCGGCAATATTGCAGCCTCAGTCGGGAAGAGAACTTTTGTAAAAAAAATCTAGCCCCTAGACTTAAATTTGCATACATCTTTTGAAATTGGAAAGTACTTAATCCGAGTTTACTTTCTTGTAGATCAAAATTATGAACAAGAAATTAGCAATTTTTAACATAAAAGAATTTAGTAGTTAAATAAGATCAAAAGGTGAAAAAAACATTTTAAAATCAACAAAAATGCACTGGAACAGCAAAAATTGAGCTAGGGGAATTTCTTTGCATTTAAAGAGATGTACTATAAATTCGTAGAAGTTTCTTGAAAAAAGGTGATAATGACTTATTAAAAAAAATTTTTTATCTGAAACGGAACGTAGAAGTTGCACGCTAAACACGAGATCATTTAACGCACGAGCCATGAGCTCAATTTTCACACAATAATTAAAAAAAAATATTTTAAAACATTACTTATACTAAATAAGAGTGAGAAGAAATGATTGTGTGCCGATTTTCTTACAATGACAACTACCAATCTTCGATCTCAGTGAACTTGTTGCTCGTGCGTTTCTTGGGGTCATATTGGCGCTTAAAAAGGACAAATATTAAAAATATTCCAACAGCGAGAATATGCCTATTCATGAATAATTATGTCTATTCATGTATGACTAATGGGCAGAAAGAAGTGAAAGACGAGTAATATTGAATAATTCCAGAAAAACACAATTTTGTTTCACTGATATTTTTTATTTCATTTCATCAAATTATTATTATTCGATGGATATCATCAACCTACGCAAACAAACGCAAGTGTCAAAGTTTGAAAAATAGCAAACGAAAAAAGAAAAAAATTATTTACTTCGAATTTTTCACACATGAATAGTATGATCCTAAATAACTAACAATTTAGAATTTGATTTTTACAAAGGAAAACAAGGCATTAGTGATAATTCAGCTATTTGCACAAAATCGTAAACAGAAGTGGACACGCGGATATACATTTAACAACTCTGGTCTACCTTTCCTCAACCGCCGCGTTAGAAACTCGCACAAAGTTTGCTCACATATGGTCAACAAGAACCAAGTCTCCCTTAGCAACAACATACACCTTACAAAGGATTAGCAAGTCTAAGTGGAATTTAAGAAGGTTCGGCGTATAGTTCAAAGGGCTTTAAGGGCCGGGTTTTGGAAGCAATTGCCAAGGGCGGGAATTGTGCTCAAGCCGCCATTATGGTTGCCAGGTATAACGAAGGCGGCGGCCAGACGCCGATAACTCGCCTCTTAAGGACCCCACGGACGTGCTAAGGCAGATTATGGTTGCGATATCAACTTACTCAATTGAACGCGTTAATTAATTGGCTCAATTTATCCGCATGCACTAGGAACGTTGCCTCCGGTGCTCGAGGATGCAATCGCCCGAAGGCGGGCGCGACTAGAAACTGAAATTCATGGTCAAGAACAAGTAAGATGTTCAGTTCTATCGTGAAGTAAATAAAAACATGAATGCTTGAAAAAAATTTGGATATACGAAATTTTCAAATACGATACAAATTGAGTTAATTCGTGGAAATTCGTAGTTTAAAACATTTGACTGTTGTTTATGCTGCAGCAGGATAAATATCTCAGGCGATATTAGTTGGAACCTCTTGCATGCAACAGTGGGAACAAAGGCAGCAGCCGTGCAATATGCACGCTGACAGAATGTAAGTAGTAATTATTTCAGCCTTTCAAACCATGAACGTCAGAGCTCTAAAGTTACATGTGAAATATTCAAAACATAAAAATATAGAATTGATCAAGTGCCTTTGTTACTTAATGACTTGAAGTGCGGTACTGTTAATTTAGAATTTGAAACCCTCGATCTTGGTTACCTGAAATTTTCATAA